AGTAGTAGTCGTAGTAGTAGTAGTAGTAGTAGTAGTAGTAGTAGTAGTAGTAGTAGTCGTCGCAGCAGTAGTAGTAGTAGTAGTAGTAGTAGTAGTAGTAGTAATAGTAGTAGTAGTTGTAGTAGTAGTAGTAGTAGTAGTAGTAGTAGTAGTAGGAGTACTACTACTACTACTACTACTACTACTACTACTACTACTACTACTACTACTACTACGAATATCTAAGCGGCCTGGGGATCGGGGAGAGGGGGTGGCAGGAGAAGGGGAAGACGCGACGACCAATCCGACAGAGGCCAGCAAGACTGCAGAGGGTACCTGCAGAGTGGGGCCCCCCCCCCCCCCCTTTGTTTGACGGACAGGTCCAGCCAGAGCGCGCGGAACATAGGGAGTGGAGGGAACGGGGGAGTGTGAGGGTGAATGGTTGCAAGGATGAGCGCGAGGATGAGGAGCACGATGTCAAGAGCGGGTCTGCTGTCGAAGACGAACGGCGTCGGGGTGCATGGTCGTCTTATCCCAACGGTGCAGAAGCACATCGATGCCACCACGTAGCTTACACCACTGGTGTGTCACACGTATAAGAGGATGCACCGCGTAGCGTTCGCCACATAGCTGACACCACGAAACTTACGTACAGTTCGTATCCTGCACCACACTCACACTCTGCACCACACGGCTAGCCCCACATAGCTTGCAAGCCAGCCCAAACCGAGCCAGAACAACTGCGGGTGCGGGCGCCCATCTTATTTTGCTTCCTTTCGCGAGCCCGCCTCGGCAATCTTGAAAAATCGGCCAACTCACAAGCGTGCGGCGTGCCGGGGCGGGCCCCCGGGACCCGCGCCCTCGGGACCCGACAACGGCGGCGAGGCCGAGCGCCCCCCCCCCTCTCCGAGAGCTCACTTCTTCCCCTCCACCTGCGCCGCCACCGCCGCGCGCCGCTTCGACAGCGGGTTCGCCGTGGCGGCCACCAGGGCCGCGGCGATGATGATGGTGAGCACCGTGCCGCCCACGAGCCAGCTCTGCAGCATCGCCACCACGCTGTCGTAGGCGCCCGCGGGCTGCTCCAGCGCGAGGGGCGAGAGTCCGAGCGCCGTCGCGGCGGCGGCGCGCGCGTCCACCGGCGCCTGGGCGGCGCGCGGAGGCGCCACGAAGGCCGGGGCGCTGAGGCAGAGGGCCGCCGCCAGGAGCAGGGCCGCGGGCATGCAGCTGCGGGTGCGGGCCATGGCGGGAGCGGCTCGCGGGCAAGAGGTACATCCAGGTCGACTGCATCCTGGAGCTTCGGGCTCCCGCGCCCAGACGCCCGAGGCGCAGAGGATGTGGACACAAGTCTGGCCCCCAGAGGCCAGAACGTAAAGCATGTTGACTGCGCCTCGGCCTTTTGGCATCTTTCCAGAAAAGCCCAAGACGCAGTGGACATGGATCCAAATCTTGTCCGATGGGATTGGCCTCGGGCGCGCGGCGGGAGACGGGCGACCTTCTGGAGCTAAGCCGGCTTAGCTAAAGAGTGGCTGCGGGGGTGAGGTTCGGCCATCCAGGAGGCTCCCGAGAAGCCCCCTCAGAGGCCTCCCGCTAGTCACTAGTCGAAGGGACAAGATCGGTTCCAGGACCAACGCGAGTTGAGACCGCGCGCTGAATTGCAGCGGGTCTTGGACTCAACCTCCTTCACGCTGGGCTGCTGTGCGGGTTACACAATAGTGGAATGTCCCGCAGGCAGCTTGGTATAATCGTACATGTATTTCATTGGATGAACGATCGAGCATAATGGATATGACAAGAGGTACGGGGATATGCTGACATGTCCGTGGGGCAGAGGGGTGTAAGAGTCGTATTCTTTTCCTGGAAAAGGACGTGAGGCCTGTGGGCATCGGCGCCTGACCACATCCCATGATCGAACAACCATCCCAGCCATCCACCCGCAACTTGCTGGCGAAACAAAACTGGCGTAATAACGAAAAAAACTTACCAAGCAGATGACTGTGACGGTGAGATGTCGAGGGCGCCGACACCAACGACGACCACGATCGTGCTGATGGCGACGATCGCAATGAGGCGGGTGATAATGGTGACGGACGGTGGTAATGATGCTGCTGCTGATGATAATGATAGTGATGATGATGATGATGATGATGATGATGATGATGATGATGATGATGATGATGATGATGATGATTATGATTATGATGATGATGATGATGATGATGATGATGATGATGATGATGATGATGGTGACGGTGGTGATGACGATGACGACGACGACAATGATGACGATGGTGCTGGTGAGGATGATGAGGAGATGCACGCGACCAGAAATCCAGAATCACCGGACTGGCATGCAGACAACACCGGGTGCTCGTGTGTGTCTGAAGCTGTCTGTGAACACATACGTGCCGACATCTGCGAGCACCAAATGGTTTCTTGAAAGGACGAGGACGTGCGCGCGCGGAGGCGCGCGCGCCTGGCCAGCACGGCAGTGCTTGATAGAGATGGCGGGTGCGCGACTGCAGGATGTTTTTCCGATGTGCGCGCCTGTGGGCCGCAGGCCCCCCTTTGGCAGATGGCACACTTTTACCCATCGAAGACGCCCAGCGGCAGAGAGCAGCAGTCGAGGAGGGGAGGGGGGGGGAGGGGAGGGGGGCCGGGGCGGCACGCGGCCCATGCGCAGGCCGCCCGAAGCGAATTAGTTTTGGCAAATGGCACACACAGCATCGTGCCCCTATGAGTTCACGGAGTGCGGGCGCGCAGGAAACTGGCAGTCGTGTGTTGACAAGGCGTGATTTGACATCTGCTGAACACATGTGTCTTGCAAGCTGGACACATACAGTGGCTGCTGAAAGAGGTTGGCATGCGCGAACAGGGCCGCGCGCATGTGGGGCGCATGGGGTTACTTGATGGGCATTGCTGCGCAATGCACTTCTTAGGTCACGCATATGCGCCGCATCATGCTTTTCAGGACATGGACGGGAAGGGGAAATGCCGGCCTGGCAACTTGGCAAATTGGTAGGATGACGGACCGTGAAAAACACACAGACCAACACACACGCACTCACACACTCTCGCACACACGCAAGC